AATTAAGTTTGGAAGTTTCGGTGGGGTTCCTCAAAACCGTAATCCAATTATGATTAGTAACCCTCAGCCTGATGGGACAAGAAATAATTAATTTTATTAATTAACTTCGATCACTAAATAAGTCCAACACTAATTAAATCCACCCTCCAATAGGGATATAACATAAAACTTACTCTCTTGGAAGACTTCTTATGATGCATATCTAGTGGAGCTCGTTTCTTCACAAAACTGATGTCGACTTAGATCTCTTCTCCAACGCTTTGTAATGCAGAAAAACATTTGACGCGACAGACTCCATAATAAAACTTATTAGCCACAATACTTTGCAAAAGTAAAAAATTATCTTCATAGAATTAATAACTTATTCATTAATCAATTAATTAATATAATTTTCTTGGCTCTAAAGGTATTAAATTATCGAGATTCTACTAGTGATCTTGATTTTAGAGTGGGACATCTACAAGTTATCTCTTTAGCTTGGACAATTACTACTACTTAAGAGACATATTCTTGTGTTTGGCCAATGGTATTTTGATACATCGAGTTGAACAGTGACAACGAGTTTAGTTTCTTTCCACAAAACAGAGGTCTCAACACGGCATTCGTATCCAAGAAATTTCCTCAGAAAGTTCCCAGAAATTTTCTGTTTTGACTTCTTGGAATAAGTAGTTTCTTGGCACGTAAATTTTGACTGACTTGTTGGATGGAATCAGCCTGTGGACCATGTTTCTCGATTATGGATCACAATACCAAGATATCCGAATATAAACTTAGTGCACTTCTACTGTATCCTCTACGCATTCCAGACCATATACTGCCGTAGACCAAGGCTTCATTCTTTATAAACCGTGTATCTTTCAGTCAGCAATCCCCTTTAAAATCTGTTGTTTAGATCCCATGTTAATGTTTCAATAGTTCAAGTGGGATTCTCATATTTTGAGATTTTGTATCATGCAAGATTTTTGTTAAAAGTGATATAGCTCGATGTCTCATAACTATGACAATTGGGAAAGAATAGTGGAAGCCGTGTTGCGGAGAGAACATGACCGGGAACTTGCTTTAGCTCATTCCAGGGAATCAAGTTTCAGCTCTAGTATCATATCCGATCCCAGTTCTCCAATTCATGATAATCAGAATATTCAACTCGGTTCTTCTTCTGATACAGAAAATGAAACAGATTGGGAGAGATTGCTTCTATCTGATTATGAGGACATCATCTCCAGATGTTTGGGTGACTCTCCAATTTTACTTGATGGAGGCAAAATGGTAACATCACAGTTTTCTATAAATTTCTATAGTCTGCTGTTATTTGTCGACCTTACCAAAATAAAAGCATTAATTGTTTGAACATTGAAAATGCAGAGCTTTCATATTGATAAAACAACTGGGAAGAGATGTGCTATGATTGGAGCAAGAAAACTCAAAATTTTATGGGGTGAAATCCCAGAATTCTGGAAGTTGACATTGCACGAAGACTCCAGGTCCTTTACTATATATCTTTTTTCTTTTGAATTCATTAGAAATTGCATATTAATAATATTATGTGCAGATTCTTAACGGTGGCAGAGCTTAATCAAGTTTTGAGGTTAGATATTCGAGGACAAATAGATACAAATATGCTGTCCCCAAGGACTCGTTATGCAGCTTATCTTGTACATGGATTCGCGAATTCTTATGAGGGTAGTCCCTTGTTAGTAAATGCAATTATTTCTAATAGAATTAAAGATGGTGATGCTCAAAAGCAAGCTAGTCTTTTGCACCTTGGACCACCAAAAGATAGAAATGGGAATATTGCGATGAGACCCGATAAGTGGATGGAGGTAGAAATTGGAGACTTTTGTACTGATCAAGAAGATAACAGTGTTGTGGAGGTGCGAGTATGGGAGAATAAACAATGTTTGAAGTCCGGCCTCATTGTAGAAGGCATTGAATTTCGGCCCCCCAATGCTAACATTGTGATTTTTCCAAAGAAAAATGTGAGAAAGAAAAGAAACGGGAGTTGAGGAATTTTTTCAAACCTTAGGATTTCTGGATGAAATGAATACAAAATTCTGTGTCTCCGCCTGATTTGTGTTCTTATCACCTCCCAACTTGCTCAGCGCGGGGCTGAAGCTGCAATGCTAGTGATGCAATATTAGAAGAGATATTAGTTTCCAATCTCAGTTGCATTTTAGGAAACATAATTAGGTTTAATTTAGTTGCTTTTATTATTTATTTCCTACTTAGAATAGAATTATTGAATCCCTATATAAAGGGGTATTATGCTTTGTAGTAAAACAAATTTGGAATGAATAAAATTGATATCTTTCTCCCCGATTTCTCTCTATTCTATCACTCTTCTCTCTTTTGCCCCTCCTTTCTCCTGTTCTCTCCCCTTTCCCTTTCCCTTTCCTCTTCTCTTATAATTCTTGTATTACATCCGGCATCAGCTAGAGTACTTATCTTTATTTGGACTGTAAAACACAAGTTATTAGTATTGAAAATGTTAGGTAATAACCCCCACCAAGTCCTTAGCAGGTCGGATAAAAATTACAAGCATATGAGATCGTTAACAAGTAATAATTTAATGAGCTGAGTTTTACTGTCCCACAAGATATAATTGTAATTATAGTTTACGAGTTATAATTAAATTTGATTTAATGTAACACAAAAGAGATTTATTTTTGTTGATATTCTAATTTAAACTATGAAAGCAATAAAAGATTGATTTTTATCCAAATATGAGATCAATGCATTAGATTTTAGAATCGACCTATTAATGTCTAGTTTCAATTCTCGACTTATGTAAATTAACTTGATTAATATGTTCATGACAATCAATAATCTGTTAATATCTAATATTCTCTTTCAAGATATATTAAATGCATTCTTAACACGACTCGACCTTATTCCTAGTCCGAATTCATAGACAAAGCATGCATTTGTTGTCTCACACAATTGCACACGCCATAAACAATATTATTAATGTTTTATTGTCAGTGTGTTAAATAAATAGTGTTCTATTTATTGTGAATCTTTCAACATTACAAATAAGATTTAGCCTAAAAACTATAAATCAACGGTTTCATCATCCATCCAATACGTAAAAAATTTAGCCTAACATTGCCATATGAAAATTACATAAAAGAAAGAGAAACGACATCGCCCAAGGCTGAAAAACTTGAGAAGATCGTGAAAACTTCAATTCCTTATTCGAAATTCGACCCCAAAAGATGCAACTTTTCTCGTTGGATATATAATAATAATATTAATAACAACAACAACAACAACGATGATGATGATGATGATAATAATAATAAACTCTATTTTCTTGCTCTTTTATGATGAAAATGACTTCCAAATATGATAAAAACTCCTTTTAGGTGCTATGGACGGCCTTAGGTTATATAGAATGCGAAAAGATTGCATTCCAAAACAAGGAAAGGAAACAAGATTATTATATACCGCGTTAAAAAATTAAAAGGAGGGGTGGAGGTACATGAGTAATTATATGGTTTGTATATATGAGTTACATTACAAAGTTATTTACAATTATTCGAAGTATAGCCCTCAGACAGAGCAAATAAAAATTATAGATTTGCCATAGTCAAGGAAAAATGTGAGGAGACTATTTGTACTTACACAATCAAGTCAAGTACCGACAAAAGAAAGCGAATGGATGCAAGAGAGTAAGTGAGAGGATTTGGCTAGGGTTTCAATGATTTCCCTTAATTGCCAATGACCTGCTTACATAAAGAAGGATATGAGGCTTGTTGGAAATAATATTGTGATTGAGGATATTACTCCTCAATCACAATCTTCCCATAGCATGCTAATGCCAATCACGTAATTGAAGGAGGCTAATTTACACGGTTTCCATTTCATTGTAAATTATTGATTTGTATTCCATTTATACTATCTTGTAAAGCTCTATATAATGTAATACGATACACCACTGAAATTAAGGTGGATTTTAATCATTCTTATGGTATCAGAGCCAAGTGGTTTAACATACATACCACATATCTTGTTCTTCTTCTTCCCTTCATGGCTTCTGAAACTTCTGCCACTCTTCTTCCTTTCAATACCTTAATCCACATGATCACCATTAAACTTTCCTCCTCAAATTATCTTCTCTGGAAAGCCCAACTCCTCCCTCTTCTTGAAAGTCAAGAATTATTGGGACATGTTGATGGCACCCTTGTGCAGCCCCCAAAACTTGACGCTACCACTTCTCTCACGCCAAGTGACAAATACCTAGCATGGAAAGCTATTGATCAGCGTCTCCTCAGTTTGTTACTTTCCTCCCTCATAGAGGAAGCCATGGCTGAGGTAGTTGGCCTCTCCACCGCACGAGACGTGTGGCTGGCACTAGAAAATGCATTTAGCCATCTTTCTAAAGCTCGAGAACTACGCCTTAAGGATGACTTGCAATTAATGAAACACGGCAATAGATCGGTTGTTGAGTATGCCCGTTCCTTCAAAGTAATTTGTGATCAACTACATGGAATTGGTTGTCCAGTTGATGGTACTGACAAGGTGCACTAATTTCTCCACGGGCTCGGTACTGATTTCTCTAGTTTCTCCACAGCACAAATGGCCCAAACTTCTCTGCCCTCATTTGCAGATTTAGTCTCAAAGGCCGAAAGTTTTGAAATTTTTCAGAAATCCCTTGACTCATCTTCTCCAGCAACGACAGCCTTTACTGTCACAAAAAATTCCACCCATCGTGGTGGCTCTTCTCGTAGTCATCGGGGTCGCTTCAGTGGGCGTGGCAGCAGTTCATCTGGTTGTGGACAAGAACGCTCCAACTACAGCCAATGGCGTCGTCCACCAAGATGCCAGATTTGCAGGATGGATGGCCACTTTGCCGATCGGTGCCTTCAACGCTATGATCAAAATGAGACACCGGCTCACCTTGTTGAAGCCTTCACGAGATCTTGTTCTCTAAATGAAGATGTGGGCTCTGACTGGTATTTGGATATAGGGACTTCAGCTCATATGACCATAGATCACTCTAAATTGGATCAGGCCACAAATTACATGGGTAAGGATTGTGTGGTTGTTGGGAATGGTGCCTCACTACCCATTACCCATACTGGTAAAATTTTCCCTACCCCAAATCTACATCTTCTTAATGTCCTAGCTATACCTCTCCTTACCAAGAATTTACTTTCCATCAGTAAATTAACATCCGATTTTCCTTTATCCGTTACCTTTACTAATAACATATTCACTGTGCAGAATCATAAAACAGGAAGGGTGGTGGCAACCGGCAAGCGTGATGGAGGCGTATGTGTGCTTGAGCGAAGTCATTCTACTTTTATTTCTGTTCTTAAAAATAAATCGCTTCGTGCGTCCTATGATTTATGGCATGCACGACTTGGACATGTCAATGATTCAATTATTTCTCTATTGAATAAAAAAGGCCAGCTTTATCTTACATCTTTGTTGCCTTCTCCTACTTTATGTGGCACATGTCAAATTGCTAAAAGTCATCACTTGCCTTATTCTCGAAATGAACATAGGTCATCGAAAACATTTGATCTTATCCACTGCGACATTTGGGGTCCGTCTCCAGTCAAATCTAATTTAGGATTTGTCTATTATGTCATTTTTATCGATGATTATTCTCGTTTCACGTGGTTCTATCCTTTAAAATTGAAATCTGACTTTTATAATGTTTTTATTCAATTTCAAAAATTTGTGGAAAATCAATACTCCACTCGAATTAAAATTTTCCAAAGTGACGGCGGTGGTGAATTTACCAGTAATTTCTTCCAAGATCATCTCCGCTCTAGTGGCATTCACCATCAGCTCTCATGTCCATACACACCCGCCCAAAATGGTCGTGCTGAAAGAAAACATCACCGTGTAACTGAGATGGGATTAGCACTCCTTTTTCACTGCCACATTTCTCCTCGCTTTTGGGTTGACGCATTCAGCACTGCAGCTTACACCATCAACCGCTTGCCTACACCACTCCTTGGAGGTAAATCACCTTTTGAGATTTTGTATGGTAACCCTCCGAACTATGAAAACTTTCACCCTTTTGGTTGTCGGGTGTATCCTTGCTTACGAGATTCTATGCCTAACAAATTTTCTCCTCGCAGCATCCCATGTATTTTCTTAGGTTACAGTCCCTCTCACAAAGGGTTTCGTTGCCTCGAGCCTTCCACCTATAGGCTCTATATTACTCGCCATGCTCAATTTGATGAAACTCATTTTCCTTCCATTGCAACCTCTCAAACTCAACCCATATCCTCCCTTAACTTTTCCAATTCTCTAGAACCTAGCCTCACCCATGCAGATCCACCTCCCCCACTCCTTGACACTCGTTCTCCACAACTCACTCAATCCAGTTCTAATCCATGTATTATGTGTACTGATCCAGTGATTGAGTCTTTACAGGATCCTCATTCTCTTGCAGGTGCCTCTTTACAGACCTCGGTTCCAAGTTCATCTCCTCTTGAACCTGGTGCAGATCCCATACCTACTGCAGTGGTCCCGTTGGCCACTCATCATATGCTTACAAGAGCTAAAGCTGGCATTTTCAAGACTCGATATCCAGCCAATCTTAGTTTTTTGGGCTCTTCTGGTCTTCTTTCTGCTCTTTTTGCATCGACTGAGCCCAAAGGTTTCAAATCTGCTGTTAAAAATCCTGCTTGGCTTGCTGCCATGGATGAAGAAATTCATGCATTACAGAATAATCGCACCTGGGTTTTGGTACCTCGCCCTGCCAACACCAACATTGTAGGCTCCAAATGGGTATTCCGAACCAAATACTTACCTGATGGATCTGTTGAGCGCCTTAAAGCCCGCCTTGTTGCCAAAGGTTATACACAGGTCCCTGGTCTTGACTATACTGATACTTTTAGTCCCGTAATCAAGGCTACTACTGTTCGGGTTGTACTCTCTCTCGCTGTTACACAAAAATGGCCTTTTCATCAACTTGATGTCAAAAATCCATTCCTCAATTGTACTCTTACTGATCAAGTTTATATGGAACAACCTCCAGGATATATTGATCCTCGCTTTCCAGACCATGTTTGCCAGTTGAAGAAAGCTCTTTATGGTCTCAAACAAGTCCCTCGTGCTTGGTTTCAGCGCTTCAGCTCCTTTATTATTCGCCTTGGGTTTTCTTGCAGCCGTGCGGACACATCTCTATTTGTCTTTCATCAGAAGTCCGATATTATCTATTTTCTTCTTTATGTTGATGATATCATTATTATAGACAACAATTCTTCACTTCTTGCCCGCTTCACTCGTACACTTAACTCTGAGTTTGCCACTAAAGACTTAGGCTCTCTCAGCTATTTTCTTGGTCTTGAAGCCAC